TTTTTTTTTTTTTTTTTTTTCGTAAAGGATTTTAGCATCATTTACTGCTTTTCAATCCCATTAACTAAATGTCTAAACTTCATAAAATATTTACACAGAAAAGGCTTTAAAATACCTAATTTATCATTAACGGTTATTATTTATTAATCGTCGGTTTGGGTTCGTGGCTTTTGGTATTTTTTTACGACTTGTTTTGACTTTCCTTGAGCTTTAAATGTCTGTCAAACAGTGCAAAGCAGCACGTACAGCGTAAAAGAAATGTACAGTTTGATTTCCTGGAAGCAGCCTCTATCAGTATTTAACTCGCAGCTCGTCTTGGGAAATCCCGGACTAGATACAAAAACTGGGTTTAATCTCCGGTAAGACACTTTTCTCTTGATAGTAAGTTGCATTTTATCCTGCAAAATAATTAGTTGACTATCTGATAGACTTCGTAAATCTTAGAGTGGATTTGCCTAACCCGTGATCGAATGATCAGTGCATGAGTATAACGTGATTAGACTAATAGAGGTTAATGTTATCAGATATATTATTTTCATTGTTTTCTATTGCGTCTATTTGGCTATTTATCAGTTAACAAGTGTTTTCTTCGGGTTGAATCAAACATCTATCATTGATTTGAAGTAAGACATAAAGAATGAACCCCGCGCTCATTTAATTGATGAAACGGAAATTTATTGTACGCCGGCTCTTCGCTTGAAATGATCTGTCATTTCTTGTCAGGGATAAAGAAAGAGTCGAGGAACAAAAGTATCGTGTGTCGAGCGAAGCTAGAAAGCAGAGTCGCGTTAACCCCCTAAAGGTGAGCTAGCTTTTCCTGGTTGCAATCACTTGTTCTTATGAGATAATTCGAAAATCATGCACATCATTTATGAGTCTCGGCCTACTATCTTTATATCTAGGTTTTACCATTATGATTATCATCATCATCATCACCAGCAGCAGCGCTTTTTCCATTATAATCACTATATTAACAGCATCATATACCATAATCACCATCATCACAATCATCACCATCATCATCACAATCTTCATGACCATAATCATCATCGCCATCATCCGCTGCAAGAGCCGTTGCATCATCCAGTAGCATCCTTTATCCCTGCTCAGTATCGTAATGTTCCTAATGTGAATCTACCCAGTCTAGCTTCACATGTACAATCTTTTAAAATGTATCACCTTTATGATGGAATTCTTATTCATTCTCATGACTAATCATATTACATCTCTGCCCTGCCTTAAACGCGTCTTCCCAACACATCTGCCGCCCACCTACGTCGCTAAGCCTGGGATTTAAACCAAAATGTCAAAACTTTAATTTAAAAAAAGCTCGTTCCAAAATTACGACCGGTGTACTTTTTGACATCACTTTTTCTTCTTTACCAAAACTTCCATAAAAGATAATCAAACGAACGCTTATAAAATCAAGCTTCACAGCTTAAAACCTCTTCCTCTTTCATGAAGCGCCAACAAATTACRCCGGAAGTTCATATTGTTCGATGTACCTCACCCATATGACTGTCCCTCCCATGACGTCACTCGTGCATAAAGCCCAGCAGATGACAACATGTGATGTGATCAAAGCGTCAAAACTCTTACATGTCACGGCGTGAAAAATTTTTTTGCAGTGTTGTTTGGTGGCCAAATTCTTAAATTTATCCGTCTGAGTCGAATATTTATTAACTAATCGTGAAAACCAGCAGGTATGTTTAAAAAATTTAAACCTTATTCAACTTTGAATTTTTRTACTCCAACTGTGTTTTTAAACTTCAACTCAATATTAATTCATTGCGCAAAATATACTATATTATAAAAACTTATTTTAAACTTTGTCCTTTGGACTGGTTCTGTCGGAATCTGAAGAAGCAAAAAAAGTTTCATAAAGAAGTATTGATTTTATTGCTGTAAAGTTATGGAATGACCGGAACAAATGATTTGTTTGTGTAATAAAAATTTTTTAAATGAGTTTAGCTGTCACGGGTTWGTTCGGCAGCTAATTATTCTACAGTATTATTCTTTTTATACTTCTATTCTTTAATATCTGTTCCTATAGATCACTGRGAAAATAATTATCTGAGTAATTGAGTCATATTTATTGATTTTTAATCCAATTCCAAGCTAAGCATAGTTATATATATATTTAGGAGTTTAGACAATGGGAGTTGATAACCTTCGATGGCATCGRTCTGGTTCKCTATCTCTTCTCGTAGCAAGTTCGCTTGTTGTTTTGRCTTTGRTTGCAAATCTACCTTCAGCGAAGTCWGGTAAGTGTGCCAAGATCAGRAAAATAGAAAKTYTGMAGKTGATATGTGGTTTCAGCTTTGGTAAAAAAGAAAGACTTTGATATTTTAATTCTTAAATATTGCGTTAATTATGCAAAGTCATTATCATATAATATACAGTACTTATAGACATAACAATAGMATTAGATGTAAAATTCTCTTAATTAAATTCAATTATAATGCCACGTTTAATCAATTTTCTGAACTTGGGGTCCATGTACGATATGTCTATGAGTCATATATCTTATAGCCCTCACAGGAGTTTGGTATAATTGATTGTAAATAAAAATAAATTTACTGTAACCATAAATGAACCATAATTAGTTAACCTTATGCTCGTCTCACTCACAGTTGTCTTACACGCAGTTAAACCTCATTTATGCATGCAGGTTAAGTATGTTGCAATTCAGCAGGCCTATCTGTCTATCTAGCTGCAGTAAATATTGGGTTCTCAAAATCATTATTTTCTTATTTCAGAGGATGCAGCACCRCAGTTCATAACAAGACCAAGCAACCAAACTGTTCGCAGTGGAATGAATGTTGACTTCAAGTGTGTAGCCTCTGGTTTTCCTCCACCAAAAATTAAATGGTACAAGAAAGGAAGAAGGATTTATAGTATACTCACATGGCGGCACCTCATAGGATCTGTATTTAAAACACTGTATATCATTCCTGTGTATTGGTCCGATGCAGGCCAAATAACTTGTGAGGCAACAAACAGTGCTGGGACTATCAGAGCACATGCATATCTTAGAGTTGTATCACGTGAGTATGTCACAGATAATTTTTATTCGCTATTTTTATGGTTTCATTTTGGACTTTTCTTTGAGTGGGTGGGGGGGGGGGGGTGGGGGAGAAGACCCTCATATCAAGGGAAAGACGCAACAAACTCTCAAATCCATACAGGACTCAAACCTAAATCCCTCAAGAAAGGCTACACTACCAYTAGCTATGTTTCTACCATTGAAGGTTGGATTTCTTGTTAATGTGTTTACATATATGCTTATTTTTTTATTTTTTTAATCTCAAATCACAGAGACCCCACCAAGTTGGACAAAGGAGCCCCAGAATGTAACTCTCTATGCTGGTCAAGGATTCACACTCCCATGCAGTGCTGATGCCTACCCAGATCCTAGCTACAGGTGGACTAGAGGGATGAACTCTGCTGATTCAGACCCATCAATCATGGTACGACCTGACGGTGGAATGATAATCACGCCAGCATCCTTTTCACACAGAGGATCCTATACCTGTACTGCAAGTAATATTGTTGGAGCAATCTCAAAAACTGTCTATGTCAATGTCTTGGAAGGTGATTAGAGCTCTTCTTGATAAACACATACATGTATTAATATTTTGGTTCCTTCTCCCCCTCCCCCCTCCCCCCTGCCCCTACTCTCCCCTCCAAAATATAGCAGACTAGCTATATGCATAAGACTAAAAGACAGAGGGCTAAGAGTTGAAATTTTAGGGGGGTAGGGGAGAGCTGCAGTCTCCAGTCCCACTCACTCCCATTCCCCAATTCATTGCTTTAGCTCTTCAGATCATTGGAGGTGGTGCCCACGGGAAAGATCATATGAATTCTTCTGCACTGGATATATCCTTGCTGCTTACACATTATCTATTATATATAACCTGCAAGAGGATAAATTATATAGAGACAAACTGGTGTTTCTTTATTTTTTAGATCCATCGATTATAAGAGACCCCAAAGATGCAGTGGGCRTGGTCGGTCAGGACTTGTCGTTACAGTGTGTTGTCATTGGTAACCCATCCATACTTGTATCTTGGGAAAAAGACGGTACTAAACTGGATGTCCAGGCAGATGTTCGTAAAGATGTAATGGTACAAAACTGGGACACGACGGCTAAGCTGTACACCCTGAAGATAAAGCAAGCTAGAAATAGTGATGCTGGGAAGTATAAATGTGTTGCAAATGATGGAATAAACATGAAGATCAGTAACSAAGCAGAAGTTAGCTTTACAGGTACAGGGTTAAAACAATTTTTCAGAAAATGCTGAAATTTGCAGGCTTTTGGGGTATGCCTTATTTTTTGGCTGGCTTCTTTTTAAGGAAAACTGCTTTTAAACCACTGACTACATGAATGGTTTACTGGTAATCTGATAATACTGCTGTCAGGACATGTACCTGAGGTCCTCAGGAACATGTATAATGTATTAGCACATATCTTAATTCATGGGTCCTCAATATACCATGAAAAAGATTTGCTTAATCACAGATTTCACAAGTAACATTTTATCTTATTTGAAAATAATGCTCTGTAAAATAATGGTTGGCRATTGGTTTTTGTTTTATTTGAAGGTTTTTCCAGCCCTCCAACTGTCAATRTCCCCCATCAAACCAGGACAGTATCGAAGGGTTCAGATGCCATCCTGAAATGCATCTTTACAGGAACACCCCTGCCTCAAGACACTTGGTTCAAATATGTTTCTGGCAAACAACTGGAACTAAAGAAAACTATATCATTTGTAAATAAGGCAAATGTTGAGTCATCGTTATTGTTAGACAGTGTGTCAAGAAGTGATGAAGGAGTTTATCACTGTCAAGGAAAGAACAAAGCTGGTGTTGCTACTGGAAATGTAACCCTTATTTTACCAGGTATTCATCCATCCAT